AGCACATCAAACCCGCCTCTATGGCAATTTAACACCTTAGGTATAAAGGGCAAGGCCACAAAAAGCCTACCCTGCCCTTATCCTCTGTAAGACTGTCTAGTGTGGTGTAATTGGTCTCACCAGTGGGCTAGAGCATAGAGAATAATTAACTAACTTATAATAAAAGTAATTATTTAGTATTATAGAAAGGAAAAAGTTTATATAGAGCCGAGGTTCTAAACAATTAAATTTAAGCTTACCTAAAAACTTTCACTAGAAGAGGTTGTTTTGATGCCTAAATATCCTCAAATTAATCATCTTGGCATCAAGATGCAAGGACATGAGAGAAAAATAGATTTCAAGTTTTGAAAATAGTATATTTTGTAGAGCATTTTTGGACCGTCAATTTTTAAGATTTTCAAGTTTTCATAGATTTGTCGATCTACACTATTTTTGAAGCTATAAATAAAGATGGAAATATATGTGAAGGCTATCACAAAGATTTTCAGTATTGAAACCACATTTCTCGACACTATTTGAAGGTAGGCTCTAATTTGATTGCTTAGAGACAAACCACACCCTTATAAAATTTGTGGTGTAAACAATGAATATATTTTTATAATTCTGTAAGCATTTATTTATAGTAACTTCAAACTAAAGAATATTACTAAAGTTGATAAATAAAATAGCGCAAACAATAATTGTAGGGGCTAGCTTATATAGATGGTTGTGGTTAAGGGAAAAGAGGTTCAAATTCAAGTAGGCAAGAGTCTTGCCTTAGCCTGTTTGCTCCAAAATAAAAATTTAGTTTGTATGAACTAGCCAGTCTAACTAATTAAACCACCAGTAACTACCTTGCTGATCTGGTTCAACTTAAAAATTAAATTTGGTTGAAGCTGGCCAAAACCAAAATTTGAAGAGTCTAGTCGGCAAGTTTTAATCGAATATACTGGCCAAACGTTGTTGGCCAAACTTTGTTTTGTGATACATTTCATCATTTTCAACTATTATTTTTATTTTTATTTTTATTATTAAAATTTGATACAAATGATTTGATCGATAGTTGAGCTGTTTTTTATTTACCAAACCACTCACTAGTTTAATGTTTGCTCTGATAGCACTTGGCAAGACAAACATGTGTTTTCAAGTAACAGGGCAAGACTTACTCATGAAGCTGGGGCCAACCCAATAATGCCTTGGAAGTTTCGTTGTGGGGCAAAGATAAAAAAAATGGCAGACCGTTCAAACCAGGCCGTTAGCTTGTTAATCGGTTTGTAAGAGGAAATGCTCCAAAAAAAAAAAAAAAAAAAAAAAAATACTAAGAAAAGACACTGGTTTTGGGCAGAGGGATCTATCAAAACCAATAGACTCAACCTTCTAAGGGTGAGTTCGAACCTCCACCATAGAGTATTCATAATAGCACTATTCTATAATACAAGAAAAACGTACTTTTTCTCTCCTCCTACTACTTTTGATTACTCCCTTTTTTTTAATGTTTTTCTTTGCTCAAAAAGGGGCAGTAATAAATGTGTTGCGGAAATATTCCTACACAAGTATGAGGCTAGCAATGGCCCGTTATGACCCTTGCCAGCGCTAACCTCTAAAGGGATGGCCCGAACACGTCCAACCCTGATTGGTTTGAAGAAGTTTTGCCTGGCCTTAGCTCAGTTATGGCCAGCCTAAATACACTTCGAGTGAAAAATAAAAAAATAAAAATAAAATAAAATAAAAGGTAGATAACGCCGGGATGGTCCTTGCCATGGTGGCCATGGCTTTGGCCCAGGCCAAGTTCGGCCTACCCTTGAGCCGTGATTGGTCGGATACGTCCCAGCCCTCAGGCTACAATTCGTAGCCTAGGACCTAGTTTTATAGGACTGGGCTGGTCCACCCGGCCCATTGTTAGCGTACAAAAGTAGCAGAGTTTTCATTTAGTGGTGCAAATAAACAAATTCTCAAGTACGCATCTAGGATGAGGCATGACACTTCGAAGTTTTACCCAGTTCACCTTTCTCAAATGACTTCTAAGAGGCATAAAAAACTTCATTACGGGAAGACAACTTGGTGAGGACTTTCAGCTTTTGAGAGCCTCGAGACCCTCAGTTACAACCTCTTCTTGAGTTTTGCATGTGCTGTGTGAAAGGAAAGTGTATATTATTTATGAGGTTTAAATGGAAGGTGTATTATAATCTATATATTTGGAAATAGTAGATACAATATATTGTATTTTAATAAGTCTAGGTATAGTATAAGAATCTGTGATTTATTACTATTCTTGTTATCTGTATTTGTCTATACAAGCCAAACTTGTATATTCATATTCATTAATAGATAAAGAGAGTCTCTTCATAGAAACCTGAGACTCTTCACATGGTATCAGAGCCAAAAAAACACATCTTGAGTTTTTGTATGATCGAGTTTTGCTTTGAAAAAGACATATAGAGTTGGTGGTCCGCATTGTTCTTCGTGGTCCACTGTGTTGATTTGGTCTTTTAGCTATAGGTAATAAATATTGTTTCTCGCTCGATCCAATGGAAAGTCCGAATCTTTTAGGTTTGTGCCAGAAAATTGTGGATTGTAAACTATGACGACCAATTTTCTTTGTTAAAAAAAGAAAAAGAAATCTTTTATGTATGATTGAATGTTTGTTATGTTACCCGATCATGTCTGTTCTGATCTGCGAACTGTCCAATTTATTTCGGATATACACCGAGTTTTGTTGGCTATTCCAATTGTTATTCTATTTTCTCAACTGTCTCGACTGTTTTTCTGTCTCTGGTGAAGGTTTGGAATTTTGGAGTTTTGTCTGATTGAGTAAGCCTACTTTGATATGGCCGTCTCTTCCTGAGGCCATCTTTTCTTGAGGCTTGTTGATTTGTTGTTAGTTGTATCTTCTCTATTCAAGCATCCTGTTTCTGAGGCTTGGTGATCTTCCGCTGCATTTTGTGCTTGTTGATCAAGCAATCTAAGCATGGGAATCAGTGCTTCTACTGGTCACGCTCTGCACCTAAAGCTTCAACTGCTCATTTCTTCAATTAGTATTCAAGCAACCGTTGCTCTCTCATAGCATCTTGAGTTTGAGAGAGTGTGAAAAGAAATTATATATTGTTTATCAAGTTAATATGGAAAGTGCATATTGTAATTTGTATATTTGAGAAGGTTAGATGTAATATCTTGTATTTACGTTAAGTCTGGGTACAATATAAGGATCTCTGATTTATTTATATTTTTGTTATTTGTATTTGTCCATAAACAAATTTGTATATTCATAATGATTAATGGACGCAGGGAGTCTCTTCCGAGAAACCTAAAACTCTGCACATGCTTAAGTTTTTCAATATCCAACTTTTTAAATGGCTTCATGTCATCAACGTTCCAATTTGCATACTTGGTCAAAAGGAAGACCTTCATATCAGTGCGATACAGCTAAAAATATTGATATAAAGGCCAAAAAGAACCCGCCGAACTTGCTAGTTGGATTGTCGACATATGCCTAAATTAGACTCGTCCAAAGGAAAAATCGGATTTCTTAAAAAATAATCAAAACCATTACTTGACGATTTTGACCAGTTTGACTGGCCATTTTTTACCAGTTAGACCAGCCAAACAAAGGCAGCTTTTTTTTATAATATATTTTATATCTTTAAGTAGCTCTTCATATTTCCTTTTATATTTTAAAATCCAGTCCAACCAGTTTGATTAGTAGTCGGACCAATTTTGATTGAACCAAACCCACCGATTCTATGCTTAGACTAGTCCTGATAATAATGATTAAAAATGAGTGTATATGAGTGAGTGTGTGTGTGTGAGAGAGAGAGAAAGAAAGATAGAAAAATCAATTAAATTATTGAATTGGTTCAAAAAATTGAAAATTTGCACAGATATCATATGTGAAAGAGCGACTCAGGCTGAGCGCTCGGCCCAAGCCGGAGCCAAGTACTTGGTCAAGTCCGAGTAACTCAGATCGAGTTGGGCCGAGTTCTGACCAAGGCCAAAAAGTATTTGAAAAATAAAAAAAAATACTAAAGAAATCTAAAAATAGGAAAATATCTTCGAAGTAAAATTAAACAAAACACTTGAGGTTAAAAAAGTAGTAAAAAAAATGGATTTGAAAAAAATCAATTTGTGAGAGGGGTATTTTAGAAATAATCAGAAAAGAAGGAAAAAATGTAAAAATAAGTTTATCAAAATGATATAAAACATAAAAAACATACTATTAATTAATTACTTTTTAAAAAAAAAAATTATATTTGTTTGAAATTCTTTACGATCCCCTGGACATCCAACTTTGGGATACCTGGGCTTGCCAGGGTAGTGAACCCAAGTTACTCGCCCAAGTATTCTGGATATCATTGCCAAGCAATGCAGCAATTGCATGCAAATTAGGAGATCGAAACTTCCATACACAGACTATAAAAGCACCGTAAAGATACACTTTCTTAATTTCATTCAGAGGATAACAAGTCATCAGTGTTGCCGCATGTTGATCATCCAATCCCACAAAAGTGGAACTAGAACAAGATTTCTACTCATTCTAACCAATTTCACTCAATGCATCACACGGTGTTGTGATTCACATCACACCCATTAATGCAGCCTTCTAAGCAAACGAATGCAGTTTCATTCCTTCTCACATTTCAAAGTTCAAACCACCTGCCCCCTTAGATCCATTCCATCAAACTCATTCTGCATTCATTGCTTCTTTCTCCTACGTTAACCAACTGCAGTTGCATCTTCTCACGCCCCCTCTTGCACCCTGCTCGTCAAACAATCCTAATATCTGAACTTCATTGCACGGTATGAAAATCATAGCACTGCAAATCCAATTGAAATCCAACAATGAACCATTCCATCTTCAGGATGCTCCTCATTTTTATTAGCCATCACCTCCTCTAACTAGGAAGAGGTGATCACCATCTCTCACTGCCTCAATGTCCTCGACCTCTGCATCCTCTGAATTGACCACCTTTGTGGGCGAAAACCCAAACTTCTCCCCCCCAATCCTCAACAACTCTGCAATTGAATCAGGTAAAAGAATCAGCTTCCCACTACCTCTCTCCTTTTCCACGCCATGAATTGTCACCCTCCTCCTCAACCTCTCCACATTACCCGGTGTGTCCCAAAAACCTATCATTCTGTCCCCACCATACATGACCCCGAACAATGAGTTTTGGTAGTTATTTGTGCGCCGTCGTCTCGGCATTGAGCTCCCAACTCCATTTTCGGGCATATACTTTCGAATGAAAGGCTCACTATGAATTTTCTTCACATTTTCAAAGTTCACATTTGGTCGAATAGCAGAGGCAAGATCTACATTTTCAGATACATTTTGGAAAAGGACCTTTATTTCATCATGACCTTGTTGATCAGCTAAAGCTCTAGGAGTCCACCCAATGAGGTCAGGCTTGTCAAAATCAGCTCCAAGGTTTAGGAGGGCTTTGACAGCTTCGACATTGCCTTCAGAAACTGCAGTGTGGAGCGCAGTTGAGCCTGTCAAAGGAGCAGGTAGTGCGGGATTGCCTCCATGGTGTATGATGGCATCGAGGGTGTCAAGGCAATTTTTCTCAACTGCCATGCATGCATAGAGGCCTGCATCACTTTGGTTGAGTCTTGCGCCTTTCTCAAACATTAGGGTTTTTACCTCCTCATGACCTCCGAGCATTGCTTCCCATAGAGGAACCCTGCCTTCAAAATCTGTTGAGTATTGAAGATGGTGGGTGAGCTCCAAATCAAAACTGATTAGATGATATTTTATGTAAAGGGGGAAAAGATACTATTGGCTAGTCGGAGGCACAATGGAATTAATAACATACATGACGGAAAACTTTTTTTTTGTTTATTGATATGTTTACGGTGGGAATGGAGGGTGGGACATTATATTGAAGCATCGACCCCCTAATCATCGATGCCCTGACCCCGTTCCCTGAGGATTCATCTGAGAATTTGGAACAGCTAAGGATTAATCCAAACATATCTATAAGAGGAAACATATTTTGAACACATAATAAACCTTCCCATTAATTATCTGTTATTTAATTAAAGGTGAAGTGAAAAGTAGCCAGTACACCCTACACTTGACACTACACATTTTCTTGTAACCTTCTACATGGGAGGCCCTTTATAAACCAATGGCAGAATGAGAATCCCCAGACCACACAAGCAAATCATACCAACCATTGATAGAATCCTAGTCATCATAACGGCTCCATAACTTTGTGTATATTAGCGAGATCTTTGATAGCCTTTTAGATCATCTTGATAAATTCAATCAGGGTGTCAAGTTCCATTTTAAATCTTAGAAATCCTTTAAAAGGCATTAATATTCCTTCTCATCTTCCGAATTCATATTTTTCATCTCATCCCCATCATCTCAATCCCTTCAGGTTAAGGACATCATATAGAACTGACTACCCTTCAAAGAGTTACATAACTAATTTCAAATAATGCACATGTTCTTGAGTGAATCAAGTTTGATTTTTATTTTGATCCATCAATTCTTTCTATGGAATCCATATTAGTATGAGTAGACGCTTCAGCCTAGCATTTCTTTTCCAAAAACCTCTACCAAGTCTACCAATTGAACTCTCACCAGCAAGCATATTTTATGGTACATTTCCCTTTTGTGGTTTGTGATGAACACCAAGGTAAAAATTTCGGATTACCTTTTCTAAGTATGTACAAATTCAGAATTGTTGAGAAGAGTAGTATTTCCATTCTATATGCAAATATAAGAAATTTTTCGAACCTTTTCCCATATTCATGTTAAGGATTACTGGAGTCATCTGTTACTTTAACGGAAAATATATCTCTTTTATCATATACTTTTTCTTTTTAGAAACATACAATGTAATAATAAAAAATTGAATAATCTCTCTCTCTCTCTCTCTCTCTCTCTCTCTCTCACACACACACAAGCACAAACAACCACAAATAAATCCATCAGGTCTGTCAAATGTTTTAAACAAACCAAATGAGTTAAATGCTGTATATGCACACTAACTTGAGGAAATGAACCAAATTACAAAATCTTGCAAAAGCATGTGTTACCTTTGATATTGGGGTCAGCCCCCTGATCTAGTAGCAAACGAACACATTCTTTAAATCCTTTTGCTGCTGCCAAATGCTGTAAAAAGTTCCCAAGCAAACAGTTAGTCTTCGCAAGAGATAAAACAAGAATCATATTGCAGCAGTCTATCATGATGAAAACTATGCCTTTGTCTACTCTCTCTCATGGGTAGCACATATGGCCAGCCCACCTAAGTCTACTCTCTCTCATTTTATCACCTATTGGTGCCACGCATAAATTCTCTCAAATAGATTCATTGCAAATTCTATCCCTTCTTGTCTTGTCACTCATCCATCTCAACATCCTCATCCGCTACCCTCATTCTTTGGGTATATTGTTTTTTGTCCGCCCAACATTTCGGCCCATAAAATAAAGTTGGTATCACCGCTGTCCTATAGAACTTGCCTTTCAGCCTTATTGGTATGCAGTGATCACACAAAATTCCAGTTGCACATCTCCACTTCACCCACCCACCACTAATTCTATGTGTGACATCATCCTTGATCTCTCCATTTGTCTAAATTATCGACCCAAGATATCGAAAGTATGGTCTTTTTTGTACTTCGTAGTCATCAATCTTTACTACTTCTCATCTCTACTTCTATTATTACTAAATTTGCACTCCATTTACTTTGTCTTAGTCAAACTAATTTTAAAACCTTTGGATTCTAGAGCATCCCTCCAAAGTTCGTTCTAACTTTATGTTGACGTCATTTCGAGTTTCACCAATCAAAGCTATATCATTTGCGAAGAATATGAACCACAATACCTCATCTTTTAGATGCCTAGTTAAGTCGTCCATAACTAATATAAAGAGGTACGGGCTCAATGCTATGTAAACCTATTGTTACTAAAAACTCACTCGTCTCTCTACTAGTTGAACTTACACTAGTAACTGCTCCATCGTACATATCTCTTACCAAGTCAATGTAGTGTATAGAGACGCCTTTCTTTTTCAACACCTGCCAAATCAATTCTCGATGTACTCGATCATAAGCTTTCTCTAGATCAATAAAGACCATATGGAGGTCTTTTCCCTTCGCCCTAAACTTTTCAATCAGTTGCCTAAGCAGGAAAATAGCCTCAGTTGTTGACCTTCCTGGCATAAAACCAAATTGGTTTTATATATATATATATATATATATATATATATATATAATATAGAGAGAGAGAGAGAGAGAGAGAAGAGTAAGACGAGAACGAACAACTAACTAAACGTAAAC